CTAAGCACTTAAGGAGCCTCGATTATGTACTCTTTAGGCACCTCGTCTAGCTACTTAATGAGCATCGGTTAGGCCTCTTTAGGCACCTTGGCTAGGCTCATTTTCACGGGATAACACAACACTCAGCTGCTCAATTCAGGAATTGAACTCCCCACCCTGAGGTTGCAAACCCAACAATGCTCATCCTTTGCCAACTTGGATGTGCCCGGGGGGCCTCCCTATGTCATTCTTTGATAGATCTTTGGGTGGATTGCTGTTGAACCCATGAATTATTGAAGTTCTACTTTTAAGTTTTAATATGATCTATCCTTGACAGTTAAAATGTGACGAATTTATTGGGGATTTTTTTACGCTTTTTTAAAAGAAATTTGACACTATGATTGCAATTAATTTTTTAGCTTTTTTTTATTTACATAGGAAGATATATTCGTCATTTAACAACTTTTTATTGAGAAATTGGATGAAAACGAATAGAAATAATGGTTTGCACAATTAAATGTGTAATTAACGATGATAATGCCCCCTAAAAAAAGGTATGAATTTTTTTTGCAATAATAGCGAAAAGTGGGAACATTATGTGTTAGTTACACTTTTAATAATTTATTTGGGACTCTTTTGCACTTTTAAAAAAATTAGGACTATAGTTTCAATTAGTTTTTTTCTTTTTCCTTTTGTTTTATTTAAAGAGAAGGGTTATTCGTCATTTCACAATTTTTAATTGAGAAAATTGATGAAAATGACTTTATGCGCAATTAATGATGAAAATAAGGGTGGAAAAAAAAAACAAATTAAAGATAAGGACGTTTTCTACAATAACAACGAAATGTTAAAGTTATATGCTAATTACCCTTTTAGATGGAGTAGTGTTATTTAACATCATTGGCGTTTTAACACCAATTTAGGTGGCAGCACTAATGACATTAAATGACATGTTCAATTAAACGAATTAATTGAACATATAATATAATATCATATAAACTGGTATTGAATAGCATTATTTTTATTCTTTTACATTCGGATGAGAAAGATGAATTTCTACATTTTCTAGAATCTGAAGACTCCCCCGCAATTGAATTGTTGAATTTGA